ATAAATAATGTATTGTCAGCAGACAATTATATGAGTAACATTATTGTAATGTGCCTGGTATTGTTATTAGAAACAAAACGGATTAGTCGTGCGAATACGAACGAATCCGTTTTATATTGAAAGAAACATTTTATAGGTAACCCGACGCATCGCGAGGGTACCGTTATACGACACATTTTCTTTCAGATAATGCGACTTACTCGTATTACCCCTGTTGTTACAAAAGATTATTCGTGTGTTGTATAATATATTTGTGTTAATGTCATTTACGAATTTAAAATATTAAAGACTATAAAGTCTACACGTGTTTGAAGTAAAAGATCGACAGTATAATGAGGCAAAATTAAAGAGTATACGGCTCTAAACAAAGGAACTAGTGTATACTTCAATATCTTTGAAGATATAGCATTTAGAGTTTTAAAATATTATGTCGTAAAATTAAATGTTAGTATGTTATATACCCGACAAAAATTTTCTTTTTTTTTTAGTACGTTTGTTCCATTGTGGAACAGGCTAAGGTCGGAGACCATGCTGCCTAGTCTTCAATATGATAAATTGTCTGGAATCAAATATTTGCTGTTAAATTAAATATAATCTATTTTAAAGTTTAACAAAAGTATAGATAATAAATAAAGAAAAAAAAAAGATAAAGAATTTTAAACAATTAATCAATCAAATAGTTTATTTGCATAAACATAAGTACATTTACAAATAAATGTTGTTGAATATTATAAAGAGTGCTAAATTCTATCATTTTAGGATGTCCAAATTTATATAAATTTTTCTTTTAAATCAAAAACCAATTTCTTTCCTTCTCCTTTAAGGGGTAAATTAACTGGTGTGCGATATTCCTAAAACGTCACCTTATAGTTAGAAGTGCAGGCAATATTTCTATAACAGACTATAATTTGTTACAGATAAAAAAATAATTATAGAAGATATGGCTGTATAGCCTTGTACCTTTGTCATTCCCTTAGCAGCGTATTCATTTGTTTGTTCATTTACTTTTCTTAATAAAGTAACGAGGTGCGAACGTAATTATAAGAACGCTATAAATTATTCGCGTTAAATGTAAACGGTTGATTATACTTGCTCTGCCATTTGTTATCCTTGTGGCGAACCTCACCCTGTTGATATCGTGTTAAGTTTAAGCACACACAACTGGGTGCCATGACTAAGTGAGGAAGGATTAAGTTAGCAGAAGTTTATTATCAGCTACACGACCAACTTTAAGTTTATGAAGCACTACGTTACACATGTTATTTAATATTAATTATTCCATCGTCTATAAAGGTGTACTGTAATATTTTATATTTGGCCCAAAAAGGAGAGAATTCTCATTTCGACTGTTTTGTTTTTTTTCTTTTAAAGTATGACAACTTAGCTAATTTTGTACCGATTTTATGATCCTTTTTGTAATAAGTTATAGGATTAATACATATATTAGGTCTGTATTACTTTTGTCACGATTTAAGCAAGTTTTATTGTGGAATTAAATCATAAATAATCTTATAAAATAGTCGATTTGCTATGATATTTAAGACTTGTACTCAGTGCAAAGTCAGTGTTTAAAGAGAAATAATTAATGTTAATGCTCCAAGATTTTGCTTAATAAGGACTAATTAAATTCTATAGAATGCAAAATGAATTATCAAAATACAAAATTATTGAGTATTAGATATTAGAGTTAAATATCTTAGAAAAAAAAATTGTAAACTTATTCCTTTTTAAAGTCGCTTAAAAACTATATATATTAGGATTTCTATAGCCACTAAGAAAAGATTTTATTGTATTCCCACGAGAGAGAAGGGACTCTATGGGTAAAGCCGTGACGTTTTCTTCCGCTGAATTTCGTTACAAAACAATATTCAAAGAAGATTGTTTTTCAATATACCGATTTAAGAATATAAGCTTAAAAATAAACATTATAGGGTTAATGTCGCGTATTTTACGTACCAAAATATCAAAAGTCCCTTACTCAGCACTACAATGGTTAGATAAGCAATGTCAAAAGCATCTCTCATCTTTATGGGTTGATTTTATGGTAAATGTAGGATATGCTTATCGCAAATTAGTTTACTTGCTCATATGTATATATTTACATATATGTTTAATTCTAAGTTTCGTGTTAAACTCTTATAATGCATGATTTTACAATTTTATTGAGTAACGAGATTAAATACAGTGGAATTTTTTTATGGACCGTATATTTTACAAATTTAATTATATCAAACAATTACATCCAATAAATTCTTGTAATAATAGGTATAACATAATATTTATTTAAATAGACGTAAATGATTAATTATTATATTCTAAAAGATGAATATATTTAATAAAATATATCATTAAATAAAATTAAATTAGGGGAGGGAATATTTTTAACTGACCTTATTATATATTCGTATATTAAATTTTGAACAACAAATTAAATATACTTATAATTAATCAATTTTAGTCGACTTTTAATTTTTAATTACAAGTTGTAAGATAGAATGCTGTATAATTGTTTTACTGGTTTCGAAAAAAAAAATAAGGATAAAATTATAATAATATTCATTATTCTTATCATATCAGTCTTTAAGTATCCACTGAGGCCTTCTTCATTTGGAGGTTTTTGCCAGTAGTCGCCACGCTTGGCAGGCGGCTTGGCAACCGCAGTTAAGCCTTTGATAAAGTTTTAAAAGGAACGCTGCTGCGGCTAACGGAACTTAATAGTTGAGGGATAGCCTCAACCATTTTCTGTTAGCTGCCTCTTACGACATCCACAGGAAACGAAGGGGCGGCTTATTCTATGTCGGAACCACAAAATCAACATTTATTTTTGGACATTACAAAATTTGAATAAGATAAAATAGCTCCATACACCCTGAATCCCAATCAATGAAAACTGGAAGCAGATAAGTGTTATTTCATGAAACTTTGACAAGATAACACTCCAACTTTGCCGGTCCTACCCTTTGTTGCAACTTTTCGCAGGCCTATTATTGTAGCCGCTTTGTTTCCCGTTCATAATATTGCTTCATCATTATTTTTTCCCGAGGTTTCTTTTGATGATAGTTCCGGAAGCTTGGACTCTTAAACCCGGGGATTATATTATGTAGTTACGGTTTGGTTATTTTTTTTTGGGGCAAGGAAAATATAATTGTTTATAACATATTAAAAGTATATGTAGGTGTACATAATATAGAATATTACATATAGATGAACATTGACCGAATGTTTAGGTATATAAATAGGTATTTATTTAGCTTTAAGGCCTTCATTGTTATGTTAGGTAATGATTCACAAATAGATTGATGCATCTGATATGACAATTTTTGATATAAAAAAAAATTATTTAACGTTTATCAAATTTATACGTTTTCATTATTCATAGCTAACATTTGTTTAACTTTTTGATTAGAAAGTTTTAAAATTAAATCTACTTGCAAAAGTTGCAACTTCTTCCGCAAGGATTAATTTTTATTGTTAATACTTTGTTGGACACGTCATTTATTTTTAAAATTTTGTAAGTAGGTATCTATGAGGGAGTAAGGCCGAAACGAAAACGAGGAAAAAGAAAGTTTTGTAGTTTACTAGCTTTTACCCGCGAATTTTTCCACGTACTCAGAGTATGTTTATGGGCCGTGATAAAAAGTAGCCTAGGCTCTTCTCCATCCCATATAGTACGTGTGTAAAAATTTTATAGTGATTGGTTAAGTCGTTAAGGCATTAAGAGGTAACAAACTCATTTTTGTATACCCATGTCTTTAATAAAACCATAAACTAAATATTAATGTCGATTTGCCAATGATACTTTTTGTAAATCTTTTTACTAATATCACAGATTATATCTACCTGCAATATTTTCCTTTTCAATTTACTTATTTTTAGGTATTAACACAATAAAGTGTCTTTCAGATATGGAAGTAAAGTTATATGCTATTTTAGGACATGGTAGACTAAGCTGCATTCAAATTTATATGGTGTTGATTGAGTAACAAATATCCAAACGCTCAAAACATTTTAAAAACTTTTACATTAGTAGAATCGTACTGGCAATATCAGTCATTTTAAATCCACAATCTCGATTTTATTTTTCTTTAATATGCTATTAAGGTGGAAAGTGATAACCGTCGCTTATAGACATAAGCAGTACCATGGACATAACAGGCTGTTTCGCCCATAATACCCCCCATGCGTTGCCATTCCTGAGGACTCAAGTGTTATTCCTCTGTACCCAGTAAATTCACTGCCATATCCCACCCTTCAAACCGAAACACAGCCATGCAAACACAACTGCTTCACGGTTGAAACACGAATGGGACAGGGGTACCCAAGCAAACAACTTTTGTACAAAGTCTCCCTCTGGTAAAATGATCTAAAACACTAATAGGTATATGTCGAAGAACCTTATTATTATACGTACGTAGTATAAGCTGACGTAAGTCGCACATCTGATTAAATTGTTGTAAGGGAGTCATTTAGAATTTACGCTTACGCAAATATCATGGAATGAGTGTTAACTGAAATGAAGACATTGTTTTAATGACTCAGTGAGAATTCGTTATTACTGAGCTGCTGTGACGTCACACCCATAAAGTATTCCTCTGTAGACTGTTTCATTAAAGTAACGTTTGTTGTTACATCTCAATTAATATTTGTATTTATAGCAATTAATTCGTATTTATTCAACGATTGTTTCTCGAAATGAAGGAAGACGATTTGTGATGTACCTATTTATTCTATTGTGGGAATCGATTACATTTGTATAGGATTAAACTTTTAACACGGTATATAATAGTAGCTAAATAGTTAAACGTCGTATTTCTGTCTGGCCGTTTGTTCTTATGTAAAAAACTTTATAGTGAAAGTTAGATGTTCATTAAAATTAAAGAAAAAACTGTATTACAGCAAACACTCAAAACATATTTCTTATTATTTTAATATATTTACGCACGTGTTACTTTTTGTTTCATTTAGAGACAAATTTTCATTCTAATTTCATTTCTATTAAGGCCGCCAAAATGAATTGCATCTTTAAATGACTAAAATCATAACAAGATAGTCATGCACCGATACTTTGGGTTCGGTTAATTATACCTATCACGAGGACATATCAAAGACTGCCAAAATGATGTCCCAACACCTCACTAATATGTTTGAACAACTTGGGAACTTCACTAAGAACAACCTCTCGCATAATAGTAAGCTGAGAGAGAAAGAGAAGGAGAATAAAAGTAATTCGAACCACGTGACCGGGGGTAATCAGCAGGCGTCCCCTCACAAGCATGGGCAGCCGCCGCCGCCGCTGAAGAAGCCGTGTAAACTAAGGAACGTCTCGTCGAAGGCGGAATCGTATGATTCTCTCTACGGGAACAGTATATTGGTAAGTACTATTTAATAAACATCGTTTTAACTCGTGAATCCTTTTCCGAAATATAAGGTAACTGGTTATATCGAAAGTGTAACCGTTAATAAAACGAGTATTATAATTAGTTTATTTTTATAACTAGTTTATTTTAACATATTGTGATGTTATATAGTAAAGGTGTTTAAATCGATATAATAGTTACTAATGAAAAGTAAATATTAAAAGTTTAGAAGTTTCTGGTACGAATATGTTTTTGGAGGTACGTACTAGAGTTTGTAGGTGCAAAAATTTACAAGCTATTGATTTGCAACAATGCAATTAAACTATGTATTAACAAAAATAGTATTTTACATAAACGACAATTATTTATTTTATTATTAATCGATACTATATTTATCAATTTGATCCACATTTGATGTTTTTAATCCTATACAGTTACATACACCCCCGATTTAGCCTTTGTGTATACATGACTTACTTTCATAATATTAGTGAAATTCTGCACAGTTACTTGGTCTAAAATAGACAGAAATATCTATGGGACTGTAAGCAGATTTTCTTCAAAGTATCCTTCTAATGATTCTTTTTACAACTTAGTGTTTATTATCGTAACATTTCATATTATGATTATTTTTGTTACAACTTATATTTTTTTTTTTAACTTAGTGGTTATGCGGTGGGGTTGTCCAAAAACTTGCACATGATAGATGTCGCCACCATTTTAACAATATTGTTTATAACATTTTCAGATGTAGGTGCTACATAAAAACCTTTAAATTATGCATGTAAGGTGAAGTACTTGTATGTACTCGTACTTCACCTTAAGTGCCACTTAAATGTATTTTACATACTAGTGTATTATCTACCAGATAACATATTACATCGATTTTCATTTTGGATACTCATCCTGACTACATAACTAATATTTAGGTATGGTTCATAAGAGACACAGGAATTAAAGCTATTTATGTAAAACTATGTATAATAATTTAAATAGGTTAGTTTCATGTTAAACATTGAATTTGTACTGTTTTAAATTAAAATATGATAAATAAAAAAATATAGAATGTTAAAAATATATTAAGTGACTTGTACGATACTTATATATTAGCACTTTTTTAATGTTAAAGATTATAATCATAATCATATTTTATAAGATTTAATATTTGAAATATATTTCAAACATACCATTTGTATGTCTATAATATATTTATTAGGTAGACAGAAGAGCAAAGTAATAAGTGCAATGCAAATATGTATATTGAATTAAAAAATGTCATATAATAAGTAGGTGATGTGATACGAATGGAGAAAACAGTAATCTGTTGCAATTTATACAACGGAGCCTCGTTCTCAATCAGGCTTTGGTAATAGGAGATTGAAAAAATATACTACAGGCTACTACAGGGGATACAATTTATATTTTGTCTACAGACATTGCAGAATACGCTGCTTTTATGCATGCAGACTATGGTTACCACTTTTGATTTGGCCAGTCGTTGATTAGTTTGCCATTCCTTTATGCTTGTGTTTGCATATCTCAATCTCAATCAAAACAAGAAGAGTTTTTGTGTACTGTTTTAAAGTGAATATTGTTTCAGCTTTTTAATCAGACCTGCTGTAAACAAATACTGGCTCAATTGTTCACGTAACGCTGTAGGAAGCCTGTTGAATAAAATTTGCTTTCGCAAACACCGGCGACCTACTTGCAGCTGGATCGGACAAACAAGCTAAACGGCAAAGAAACGAGCTAAGCTTAAGCGATTTCAAAAAAGAGAATGTTCTAGATTCCTTGCATTTTTTGTGTGTGTGTTGTGCGATATTTTTTGCCAATTCTGAATCGATTTTTATACTCGTAATAGTTTTACACTTGATAGAGTTTATTCGCATGTTAGTTCCATATTTATTATTTATTTAACTCTTTATTGCACCATAAACAAAAATATACAATGACAATTAAACAATTCAAGTGAAATACAGTAATATAAATACAGGTTGAAATATACACATAAAGGTACAAAAGGCGGTCTTTTCGCTAGAGCAAACTCTTACAGACAACCTTTTGTTAAAGGAGAACAGATAGAAATGGGTAGGTGGCGATTAGGTATGTATCACGATTAAAGTTGATTGTTTTTAGTACGCAAAATCTTAAATTGTAAATTGGTCTGAGTATGTAGCCTGGAATGTAATAAGTATTATTTTTCGTACAATCCGTCCAGTTCCATCCTTATCATTTAAATGAATGGCGGTCCTCCACAATGCGTTTTTCAAGGCATTTTCTTCCATGCACTACCACTATTTGGAATCAACTTCCAGCAGCAGTATTTCATAATGAAATTATAACCTTCAAGAAAACAGTATTTTTAAACGTTTTAAAAGACTGGCAACACATCTGCAATGCCGTTGGTGTTGTAGGTGATCATGGATGGCGGTAGTCTCTTACCATCAAGTGAGCCGTACGCTCGTTTGCCCCCCTGTGTTATAAACAAAAACCTTTCCAAGATCGTGATAATAAGTATCATGTAATGAAGTATATTGCCTGCTTCTGAAACTAGAACATTACATACAATGTTCTAGTTTGAGAAGCAGGCAATGTACTTTATTACATGATACTTATTACTACCATGGTAGTACCAATTTTACGAATACAATGCAGTATTATTGTGATATCAGATGAGAAATCATACAACTAACATTTGAAGTCACATTACGCCAAAGCAACGTGCTTACTACAGCGTCACGTAAATCGTCAAATATTAGTGGAATTGGAACATTTGGAAACTTCAAAAGTAAATACCTATAGAATGCTATAAAAGCTCAAAATGTTGTAAATTATTAATAAAGTATTTGCATCTGTCTGATCGTTACAAGATGGATGTTGTAAGTACATACTTACTGTCGAGGCTGGAATTAAAGCATCAATTGTTTTGTTTAGGTTGATGGTCTAAAAACATTGAAAGGATGAGGCGAAGCCGATTATTTTCCAACTGAAATATTTAAAAAAATGAGGCCTCTGATAAGCCTTTTTTTAAAATAATCGCGGTCTCTAATTGATGTTTTGGTAAAGAATTAATAATACATAAAGAGTTTTAAATATTGTTGCAAAAATATCTATTTTTGTTGTGTCAGGAATGACTGCTATGACTAGAAAGAATTTATAGAAGGCTGAAAAGGACCGATGCATTTACATTCAGTTTTTGTTTAATAGGAGAAACATACATTAAAATAAAATTCTATTTATTGTAATAAACATACTTTTGGCACCACTCAAAAATGTGGTGGTGGTGGAAGGTGGGTAAAGTTACTTCGCACAAAAAATTTTTGAGAAAAGCGCGTATTATGTCATTCGTAACAGTCACGTGACAGAACAACGGTATAGGACGATTTGTTTCGGACATGAGGTCATAAACCCTCGTCTCGCACCTGTGTTTACAATATCATTCTGAATATTTTATAATATATCTATTACTATCTACTACTACTACTTCATAATACATGTAAGTACGTGTACAATTTTTAAAACTTACTATTTACGTAGTTCTGCATAATATTTTCATTTGAAACAAGTACCTATTTATAAGGATTATTCTTACTTTATTTATATTTATCTTTTGCGTTTGAACATTTCGTTGTATCGCTATTTGCAGTAAGCATTCACATATTTTTAAATTACTTCAAAAAGCAAGGCATTATCATTTAGATAATATTACCGTGTGGTCCCGGCATAGAATGGGCCACTTCTTTCTTTCTTATGGGTGTCGTAAGAGGCGAGTAAGGGTACAAAATGGTCGAAAGATGGGCAGCAGCGTCTTCCTAAAATATCATATCACCAAAGCCTAACTGCGATTGCTAACCCGCAAAATATTAATTGCATTAGTGTTGATTATCGACCAAATAAGTAAATTTAAACTAATATCGAAAAGTTTTATTCGGTCCATATTGTCCAAAGGCGACGGTCACCACTTTTCATTAGACGGGTTATCAGGGTTGAAGGAATTTTAAATAAAAAAAAAGCATTAACATGTATATTTTGGATCAGATCAAATAAAAGAACTGATCTCAATATAGGTATTTACATAATTTCTTCAGATATTTCTTAACACTAACTTATGTTTAACAGGCTTTTGCTATGATATATGTAATGTGGAAATGTACCAACTTCTCTCATATATTTCTGTAATGCTCTTAAATATTCTTTCTCAAGACTTAAGTTTTGACTTCATAATACGAATAAAACAAGTACGGAGAAAATCCCGTTAGAAACAGCGCCTTCAATCACCACAAAGTACATATATGAAAGAAGACACGTTTCGATTGAAAATATTTAAATTTAGAACTTGTCATTTTGTGTCTCATATCAGTCGTTATGTTGTCCATTGCTGAACAAAGGTCTCGTTTTATAGGGCGCTTCTGACAGTAGTTGCCACATTTGACAGACGGATTGGCGACCGCAGTTAGGCTTTGATGATATTTAATGAGGGATGCTGTTGCCCTTCCTTCGACCATTAAAATTCCATTATCGCCTTTAATGACACACATGGGAAAGGAAGGGGTGGCCTATTTTATGCTGGGACCACACGGCAATTGGCCATATGGTATTGTGTGTCTACAAAAAAATGTTTCTTCGCAACAAATAGGACTTTGTTCCATAAAGAAAAGTGATCACCGGCTAAAATAATTTAGAAAGCCCAAGCTAAAGAAAAAAAAAGGATTTAATTGTCACAAAATTTATAATTTTTCAATTCAGTAAGTAATTTAGTAAATCTTTTTTGATTTTAAAAAATTGAAAAAAATAATACTGTAATATAGCTATATAAATATACAATAACCTCCTTCTTTTTTGAAGTCGCTTAAAAATACAAACGAATCGACAATCTTCATCTTTTGAGAAGTCACTTAATAAATGCACTAAATTGTCATTTTTGTGTATGAAAACATTTACCTATTATTATAGACAGGAGAATTGGTAAAGGGTTCAAGATGGGGTAACTCAAATACTTGTAACATCAATTGGC